ATCCCGACAAAGAGGGAAAGTTGGGCGGGAGGTTAGAAACCTCACCCCGTAAAAACACCACTGCTACTGAAAAATCACAGCTAAAGCTCCAACCCCTATGATCCCCTGAAAAAGGTACCTTACGATCGAGGGGGAGAATATTCCCAATGAGGAAGGATCAAAATCTCTGTCCACAGGAATCATGTATCTACGCTTCTCACAGATAGTTCTGGATCAAAATGACTTTAATTCATTCCAAATAAACTCACTGGTAAACAACACATTGTGTCAATGTACACACCATCACCACAAAGAGAAGTATTACAATAAAAGATTAAACAAAGGACAAAGAAAAATAATAAAGGTCAAAAATCAACATGTTACATGCAAATGTCAAATTAATGATGCACAGTGTAGAAAGAAAGCGAATAGTAATGACAAAGTCGGCTGAAACGTCTAAATAATTATAAATATTTATAATTGAAGATGAATTAAGCATTGTATATGATACTTTAATCGAAAATGGCTATCCCGAAAAATTTATCAACAAACACATGACAAAGAAAGCGGAAAAGGACTACTCACCGTCTGTAAACAAGAAGCCTTTATATACACGACTACAATTCATGGCCGATATACCAAGCGAGATAATTACGAAGAAATTAAGAAAATCAGTTCAAAGAGCTCTTAATGCTGGCGAACTACACGTATTATTCTCTACACGACCGATGGTGCTACCTCGACTGAAAGATGAAGTGCCTAGACTAGCCACTTCCAATTGTATCTATCAATTCAACTGCGCTTGTGGTGGAGCGAGTTATATTGGCCGTTGCTCTAGGAACTTGATTTTTCGTGCCCACTCGAGAACATCTCCCACTATGGCTAAGTAAAGGTGTAGTGAAAACTATTAACGGCTCGATATTAGACCATCTGGTGCAAACCGGCCACAAAGACAGCCTTGAAGAACCCTTCTCTATAATCTACCGGGTGCCTAATAAATTGCCAAAATCGTCGAATCACTGCATTCTCCAAACAGCAGAGGCTATTGCAATTCGCCTCAAACAACCAGTGCTCTGTGTTCAAAAGAAGCAATTCCAGCTAGCACCTACTAATGACCTGGTCGGCCTTCAATAGAGACTATAAATTCATGAATTTGTAATATTATCTTTCATAATTCTTCTAACATTCGGCTTATTTTATGTTGATGCTGTTCAGCTATAATCTGTCAACATTATTGATTTGATGTTATTTAAACATTGTTGTTGTTCATATCACTAATTCATTCATTCATTATAATGTATATATAACTGTAGAGTCTGATGATGAAGTTATCGAAAAGAGTACTTTTTGTTCAGTATCCACTGTTTTGAAAATTTTAATGGGCATTTTTAATCAGTTAAAATAATTATGAGTAGATCATCGATAAGGGATTTTCCAAACATTTTGTCCATTACATATTCTTATATATATATATATATACATATCATTGGTGTGAAGATCCGCGGCATCTAAAATAAGGAGAAATATCCGAATTTCTAACACTAACATCAAGTCAGTCAAGTGTTTCAGACACATGTTGTGTATGCCACCTCCAGCATTTTTCAACTTTTATCAACAACCACTGTCCCCCTTCATTATATGTTGGAGATTAAACAGCTGATCAGAAAAGATAAGCAACGAAGAACTCTGCCAGTGTAACTAACCAACGAAGAACATATTGCCCAAACTGGATTAGATGTACAATAAGGAGGCATTCAAGTGATGTCATACACACCAGACTGTTGTGTTCAGGCTGGATGGGAAGGGATAAATCGGACATCTAGTGGGTGACGTGGAGAAGATGATGTGAAGAGGTAATGAAAGCCTGTGGGCAGTGATGAATCCAGTTGAATGTGATTTCAGAGAAATGAGGGGAATGGATATGTGCCTTTGAGGTCGTGTGTTTTTTAGCTGGAACATAAAGAACAACTAAATAATCAGAATAATTTAGCTTAGAATAAACTCTAATTAATTTGTCACATATAAATATAGGCTTAATTCTATATTACAGGAAATGCTTGTCTGTTGGGTAGAATATTCAACATTAAGAATAAGTGTGTGTGCGTCTCCGGGGGAATAGCAAAATGTGCAGGAGGTCAGGGTTCGACTCCTGGACAACAGACGCATTCGCAACCCGCCTCCTAGCAAGTAATAAAACCTGGAAAAGAAGGAAGGTTGGACGCGCCGCTAGCAACAGCATTGCTACTAAAATTGTAAAGGCCTGAAATTCTCTATATTCTACTTGAAACGCAAGTAATCAAGTAACATACTAACATAAACAAGAAGGGTTAACTACACTAAATAAAAATAAAACAACTTCTTTGTTTGTTTTTCTGTTTGTTTCTATAAAGTACATACATAGGGTGAAAAATGCTGTTCAGTTTATGCGCTGTTGTGAAATTCAACAAATTGATTTAATCCACTTTTGTGTACAAGATTATCGGCATAATTTCCCCAGTGTGTTGGTTTTTCATAGCATGTTAAGAAAAATGCACCAATAGTTGTGATCAATATTATGCGGAGATATTGACCACTTACTACTTATGTTCTACACTTCCTAATTAATTATCGCAGTAGGTTAATGATTGGAAAAAATACACATTCCTGCTAAGATCATTAGGAAGGAGTATTCACACAGAAGAACGGATGGTAAATATATAACACAGCTGGAAATATATTTACTTTTTATTACTTCCTTAGGTTCCCAGTGAAATATAGAACTTCTCTGGCACACAAACATTTCGACTGTCGGTTTGTAGGGATCTGATAGGTTTCAGGATTTCATCATGAATTGACATCGGTAAGAGAACTATTGGAAAACCTGGGGGGTACTAGACAGCTGTTTCGTCGTAGTTTGGGACTCTCCGTCAGTCGGCACCAACCGCCATCATTCGAACCCAGAACCTTCTGGTTACAAGGCCACGAGCTCGTAGACCATTAAGCCACTGGAACCATGGACCATTGGATTGGGTCCCAGTCAGCCAAATCATGGGTAATAACAGGTAGCCTGGACTTATTCCTGTATTCACTTCAAGGGCTTTGTCGAGTTTTCCGTTATAAATTACAGTGCAAATTTTAACTGATACATTCCTCGATTAGATTTTCAACCAATTTACCGTATTCTGCACTTATCTGTTTTGACTAAACATTCTCTTATAATGGAATGGAAATTTAGCTTTCACTTAGAGAAGAAAATTTCTATATGTTGTTTGGTAGAGGTCTGATTAATTTGAAGGTAGGCTTCATCACTAACCTACATCATTCAACGAATTATTGAAAGCCAGAGAAAACTGGACAATTTTTGCTCTGAAGTAGAAAACATCGATGAGACTACCGGGATCAGACGCATGACCTATACGATACAAGGGGAAATTAGTGGACAATTATAATCCATCGACCCATAAATTCTGACTTCTGTCCATTTGCAATATAAACAAGACTTGACCTACAATTTTAAAATCTTTATAACAGTTTACTTATTGAGTAATCTTTAAGAGTTTTTTAATTCATCCACTTCAACTCCAATCCCTTAGTAAATCATTTTATCTTTATTCTTATCATATATATGTATATATATATATATTGACTGAGCAGTTTCTAGTTACATTTAATGCCTTTTTTCGTAATATCAATATGACTGTACAGCTTGCAAATGAAGTCGTTGGAAAGAGATGTTTCTTTGCTGAACAAAAATCTTTTTTTCCTTCCCACTAGAACTAGTAGAGTGCAGCAGGTTCGGTGTGAAAACAAATAGTCACCGAAGACATTGGCTAGGGGTTGTGCAATGTCGTGAATTTGCGGAAGTTAGAATTCATGCACTGGCCATTGGATCGGGTCCCAGTGGCTTAATGGTCTGCGAGCTCGCCGGCCCTGTAACCACAAGGTCCTGGGTTGGAACATCCTTTGGTGGGTGCATACTGTTGAAGGGTCCGCAACTAGGCTTATGACACAACCACCCAGTACTCCCTGTCAGTTTTTCCAATGTTTCTCTAACTGATGTCAGCTCATGATGAAATCCTATAACCAATCAATCAAATCCCTACAAACCAATACTTGAATTTCAGCCTATTCGCTTACTAATGTGACGAAAAGCCACTTGAGGCACATTCCTACGTGCCAATGGGGATTTATGCTGATGTGCAGAGTATGATACAGCTGTTATTCAACCATTTCTCACTCTCTACTAAGCAACTTTATTACTGTCGAAATAGTTCAATATGTCAGTAGAAACATTTATGTTTCGTATATAAGTTTTGCATTTGATTGATCATATCTTGTAAAGCCAAATTGTGCATCGTAAACGTTTAACTCTAAGCTCTATGACCATAGTGAAACCTGGCATGCAGCTGATGAGTTAGGCTGTCTGGTGTATGGATCACTTAGATTTGACTGATCAGCAAACACTATCGGTTGATGTGAATGACATCCAGCTACTTTTAACAATCTTTCAGTAGTAGATAGAATTGACAGAAGTTGGAATTCATGGGCTGGCCATTGGATCGGGTCCCAGTGGCTAAATGGTCTATGAGCTCGCCTTGGCCTGGGTTCTGACCCCAGTGGGTGCGTACCGCTGAAAAGTCCCAAACTAGGCTGACGAAACTGCTGTCCGGTACACCCAGGTAGTTTTCCAACAGTCCTCAAACCGATGTCAGTTCATGATGAAATCATGTAACCAGTAGACAGAATAATCCACTAAGAGTTTTATGCCTGAAAGTTGAAACAGTTCTGTCCAATTACGCGTCACATAATGCCGTAATCAATGAAAAATAGGGAAAAACTGTTTTCAAGTCTACTGAATGGATATTACTACAGAACCATTCTGTGATACACGTAGTGTACAAATCACCATGAAGTCGTACAATTTCTTTTATTATTGCTGTCAGCTGTGAGTGCACAATTTCTTTTACATTTTTGATTTCACACTGTCTTAAAATTTCTCTTCTTTCTTTCTTTTTGTAACTACACATTGTTTATTGTTGTAGAAAACTACGCTTGAAAATGCAATGGCTGATGCTTTATTGAATGATCGATTGGAATTTGTTCAATTATTACTTACTAAAGGCCTGAGAATTCAAAGATTTCTAACACGTGAACGTTTAGAAGAATTGTACAATGTGGCTGGTGATGCAAATAATCAGTCATTTCATAAACTATTCACAAAAGTTTTAGGTAATAAACAGGTAGGTAGAGATTATGCTTAGTTCGAGGTCAAATTTTGTGCCACATGTGTTTTTTTTTACTTTGCAAACTAAAACTTAACAATGTATATATATGATGTGTTTGCCATGATGAATGACAAGCAATATAATAGCCTGGTGTATACTACTGATTGATATATGAGTACTTGAAGATCACTCACATATTATTATTATTATATGTTATTATTGTTCCCTTGGGTTCCTAGTGGAACATAGGGCTTCAACTGCACGCCTCCATTTGCTTCTGTCTTCTACTGTACTTTTCACCTGCATCATTGTTAGTTAGTCCATACTGTTTCAACTCCTCTTCACACGATCTCCTCCATGTCACCCTTGCACCGACGAACCACTCGCCGCTTCCCTTTCGGGTTCCACTCGAGCATTGGCCTGACGCGCGATGTCACCCCGCAGCGGCCTCCTCAGCGAGTGTCCAATCCATCTCTACTTTCTCCTGCATATTTGTTGGGCGATTGGTTCTTGTTTTGTTTGTTTGTTCCCATAGTTTCTTGTTGGTGATTCTTTCCAGCCATCTAATCTTCAGTACAGAGCAAAGACAGTTGTTGATAAAGGTCTGCAACCTGTTGGAAATATTCTTTGTCACCACCCGCCAAGTTTCTGATCCGTATAGAAGAACTGACTCACTTGACGTTTGTATTGAAAATCCGAATCATTTTGTTGTTGATGCAGGCTGAGTGACGAAGATTTCCAGATTGGTTTCAGGTTGATGAATGTGTTCCTCGCCTTTCCGATTCTCGATTTGACATCCTCGTCCGTTCCTCCTGTCTGTATTTGAGATAATGCTCCCTAGATAAGTGAATGAAGTAACCTCTTTCAAATCCCTCCCGTTGAATGTGATTGGCGCTGGATGTTGCTGCTGTTGTTGGTGGTGGTTGGTTGGTTATTTTCATAACCTCCGTCTTGTCTATGTTCACCTGGAGTCAGTCCTGTCTTCTCTTGCTGCTTCTTCGACCAGTTTGTCGGTTTTTGCTCGCAAGTCTTCGATTTTGTGTGACATCAAACATAAATCATCCGCGAAATCCAGGTCTTCTAGATTCTTCACGTCGGTCCAGGATATGTCTGTCCTCTCGTTTCCCACTCTCTGACGCATAATCCAGTCCACCACATTCACCACTCACATCAAGTGGTAATTTGTGCGTCGGTGGTACGGCGGTAGAATGCTCGCCAACCACGCCTTCTCATGTGGTCCCGGGGTTGTATCCCCGGCCGGCGCATTCATTTACCTCGGTAAACTAGTAATAAATAATACTGGTAAAGAGGGAATGTTGGGCATGAGGCTAGCAACCCCATCTCGTAAAAATAAATACCACTGCTACTGATACTTCAAGCCTTTAGCTTGAAGCTAGTCTATGTTCCACTGGGAACGTTAAGGAATAAAATAAAATGGTGATATGAACCAAGTACATCGGTGATGAAAAGATCCTCCCTCAATATAGTAACTTTTGATAAATATCATTCAATATAGCAAAAATATTCTTTTAGACATCTATAAAACACAAAATAATTGAGCAAAGAATAGCCTTTTCGATAAATTCCTCTTCAAGGCTCTACAATTATATATATGTTTATATACACAGAATATTCTAAATTAGTAGTCAATAACAATATTAGTGTTTTTTTAAATAATACCGATTTGTAAAGTTTGATCGACGCCATTACAGTTCATTAAAGATGCTTAAATAATAATAATAAAGATATAACAGCGAATAGAATATCAACTAAAATTAGGGAAATTTCACAAAAATTCTGGATTATTTAAACCTGGATGGCCAAGGTAATGATAATGACTGAACTAACTTCTTTTGGGTGCATAAATTAGGCTTATTAATATGGATCCCCACAGCCTCAGCAATATTTAGAAGTCGAACTCTTAAAGTGAAATTGAGATTCGTAGGTATGCGGTAAATGACCCTTAAAGCTTGATTAACGTCAATCTTGTGTTCTGTCTCCACAAGATGAGCCAGAATAGCACTAGCGAATAGATTTTGTTTGACCTTTACTTAACCAGGCAGGGTGATGTTCGGAAATTCAACACTGTATCTTTAAAACCACTCCTCTTCCTCGTTCGGGAATAAAAGACAAACTGCCTAATTTCGCCTCTTCCATGTGTATATAGCAATTTAACTGCTCCTGTGGAGCCAGTTACATAGGCCGTACAATTAGGCGTGTTTCGCGTCGAATTTCCTATTTTAGATTTTGTTAAAGGTTTTGTTGAATCAGTTAGTTCATGTATCATAATCTCTGTAAACAAACAAAGTCGGAGATCTTATCAGTTTTATGACTATTCCCCCTGTAGAACTGATTGATGCCAATAGATTATTATTGTTCAGAGGATAAACAACATAACTATCTGATCCTAGATGTCGTAATCGAAATGAATCTATTCAGTAGCCGTGTGTGTGTATGTAGTGGGTTCCACGAAACTTTGCTGTGCAATGACAATGTGTCTACTAAATTTGTCGTGTAACCAATAAGCCATTAAGAAAATCTCCACATAGCAGTTACGAATAGATTCAGGCGGTCGAATAATTAATAGACAAGCGAACCTGTACCTGCATTTCTTGATTACTGGCATTTGTCAGTATTCCATTGTGCATGCTGTCCAACGACACCCTTAAAATGTACTGCTGAATGTTGTAGTTTTGGTTCTTCAGGAGTTAATTCTCGCTTAAAGATTGTCGATAGGTTCTGCTTACAAAACAAAAATTCACTTGTTCTCGCCAACTTCCTTCATTCAGCTTAGGCTTTACATCATTATTCGTCATTATTTTGTTTTATTTTATTCTTTTTTGTTCTGGGTGGAACAAAGAGAATAAAGCTTTAGCTTAGGTCGTTGTCTTCTCATTTCCTGTGTACAGCTTATAACAAATTAATTAACTTTATGTACAAAGGAATTTTAACATACTTGCAAAGGTGTGACATAATGTTAGTTAGTTAACAGAAGACTTCAAACTTGATTAACATTGTTCAGAAGTCACACTTAAACATATTAGGATAAAACTTGGGCACTGTGGTAGAGTATAACTATGCCATTATGGATAAAATTTTATTTTGATAAAATCACATAGAGTAATGTTATACAGTAATATTTACTGATGCGACCACGTTTCGAGCACAATTTATTACTGCTCACAATCATAATAATAATAGTTTGCTTTATTCCAAAACAGTATTTGTGATACAGAATGGAATTCTCAGCATTTTTACTACAGTATTGCATCCAGTTAGTACATTAACAATAAATAGAATTCTACATAGATTAGGGAAATCTCAGTTCATTATGACAACAACATATTGGCATGTCGGTAGAAAAGCCAAAGTTGAACAGTGTTTGAAGGTGTTAAAAAAGTAGGTGCTCTCATATTTACTGGCGTAAGCGAGAGAAAGAAACAAAGCAGCACATAACAGAGAAAAAAGAGAGAGACAAAAGGAAAAGAAAGAAAGAAAACGTTGCACCTATAAATGATATGAGTTGGAAAGACGAGATCCAGTTGTTCTACTGACTATTTAATAAGTTATAGGTATCACGCCTAATGCTTTCTTTATCGCGCAGAACACGAGCCAAGTAGGGTATGGTTGAGTTTTTGTACTTGCTAGTGCGAGCATATAGTTTCTTATATAGGCTTGTGGTTTCGCCTGATGAGATGCAAGGGGAGAGTTGTGAATTAAGAGGGTGGTGTGAGTTAGATAAAATGGATTTAGCCCATTTGTCACATGAGTCCATGTGCCTGTCAACCAGAATATTAACAAGCTGGTTAAGTGGCATGTTGCTTACCCTACTGACAACCTTTAACATCCTGCGTAATATGTTATAGTCTTTCTTCAGTAGCCGGGGAAAAACTAAGGGGGAAAAAAAGAGAATAATAGGCAGGATGCTAGAGTTAACGAATCGTAGGAGTAAGGGTTGGGTTATTCCAAAGTGTTTTAACTTCTTGATGTAGAAGGTAAGACGAAATATTTTCTTAGAAATCGTCAAGATATGAGACAACCAGGAAAGATCAGCAGATAAAATGACGCCTAGGTATTTAATTTCCGACTTGGTTTCTATTTCAGTGCCATCTATGTTGCACACCTCGTGAATGCTAACCAGTTTGTTTAGGTAGGATTTATGCCTAAAGGTGAAATTGACTGTTTGGCATTTGGAGAGGTTTAATGTAAGACCGTTTTCCTTGGACCACTGGCTGATTTCTGATAGAAAGCTATTTAGTTTAGAGCAGTCACTTTGACATTTGACAGGCAAAGATACAGTCAAGGTACTCACACAACTTTCTTGCTTCATTTATATACATGAGTAAAACTGACTAAACATTTGAATAAAATTAATATAAGATAAAGTACATTCAGAAATCATATTAGTGTTATAAATAAAATACAATAAGATGCCAAATAAGATGTTTTTATAGTAAAAATAAGTAACTTGTTAGAATGTTATAATGTGAATTGAATACATTTTAACGTTATTTATTATCCTCCTCTGATTTGACTAGTAATAATATCTTCCATATCTCTGCTATTTGCGTTGAGTCACTTCTATTGCATGTGTTGGTTGTAGATTATTCAATGAACCAGGCAGGATTCAGCAATCAATCTCCCTCACTCTCCACCTACCTATATTACCATTAGAATTTTGACTCTGTCCCACCCACCCTATTGTGTGGTTGTGTGTTAATGCATGCACTGCTATTGCTCAATTTTTTTTCTAAATTACTTATCTTCTCGGGATCAATCATTCTAACCTTCGTGAAATTCTTATGTTGTGATAATCGCACTAATATTATTTCCGAATGTACTTTATCCTGTACTGATTTCATTCAAATGTCTAATCATCAACTTTTACTCATGTGTATAAATGAAGCAAAAAAGTTATGTGATTACTGCCTTGATATGATTATGAGCTGCGGTAATAAATTGTGCTCCAAACGTGGTCATCACTGAATATTACTGAATGACACTGTGTGACTTTATCAAAATAAAATTTTATCCATAATGGAGTAACGTTTATAAAGCCTACACACATCAGTTTCAAGTTTAAACAAAAGGAAGTTAAAAAAACACATAACAAATATTTGCATTCAAAGAGAAGAGAGTTACGTAATAAAGACAAAAGTTGAATAAATAGATGATAAGTAAATAATAAGTTGTGCAATAATCTGGTGATTTAAACTCAAATTATAGATTTCCAAGTATGAGTTTTTAGGGAGTTGATTGATTTTCGAGTCTGATCATGAACTGGTATCAATTACAAAACCATGGGAAATCAGTGAGTACTCGACAGCTGTTTCGTCCCAATTTAGGATACTTCAGTCATACGCATACAGGATCCCAATGGAGATCGAACCCAGGACCTTCCGGTTACGAGGCATGCCCATTAGGTCGGAACTAAGCAGCCCATGAATTCCAACTTCTATCGAGGCACTATACCTCACCCATCAGTATCCTTATTCAATTACTTGGGAGAGTGTGAATTAGTTAGCATAATAGAATAAAGCTTCCCAATTTATTTATTTACTCCATGTGTCAATTATAACTCTGCTTAAGTTATTGTTGTTGTTTTATTTAGAAAATCACACTACGTTCAGTTGGCCAACTGATTGAAAATTTAGTCGGTGGGGGTTATCAACATTCTTATTGTATTAAACCTGGAAATGCAGATATAGTTCGTTCACCATCTCATGGCAATGGTTGGCTACCGAGTGTTAATGTCCCATTTGGAAATAAAAATAGTATAACAAATAGTGTAAGTTTTTTTCGATATATTTACTTGATGTTATTGTTTGATCTATAAAATATGTATCATTCTGGCTTGGAAAAAGATTAACTGAGTCACAGTAAACAGGGATGTGCGTCGGTGGCATAGTAGTAAAATGTTCACCGACCACGCCTAAAGTCTGGGGTTCTATCGTTGGCCAACGACCTCTTTTACCTTGCTAAGCCAGTAATAAGACTGGTCAGGAGGGAAGGTTGGGCATGAGGCTAGCAACCTCACCGCGTAAAAAATAAACACCACTGCTACCGAAACTACAAAGCTGTGGCATGAAGCCCTATGTTCCACTGGAAACGTAAAGGAATAATAAAAATAAAGTGACATCTTATCTAATTTTGGCGTTAGCTGCTCATTAATCTGGGATTGATTCCCGGCTGATGGATGCCCTCCTAATCTCCACCTGGTTCACTAGCCGATAGTAAGTGTGGAGAGAAGAGAAAATTGGACGTGAGGCTAGCACCATCGACGCTGCAGAGCCTTCAAAGTTCCCATCGATATGTTTGAAAAGAATGATAATATAAGGAAGAAAATATTATCTCATTTAGTGGACAGTAAATGCCACTCTAAAATAGAACAGGCATTTATTGTCCTATATTAGGTGCTGATTACCCTGCTTAATTGCGTCTCTTAGGCATACCTGAAGCTATAAATGTCAGAAGGGCATGTTGAAACCATAAGAACAGCATGAGTGTAATCATTCCATATTTTCATGTCTTATTATGTCCCTCTACAGCTTAACAATCTTTTCTCTATTCTTCTTACATCTTTTCCACTTACTTCACATCACACAACAATTACTCTTAATATTACTATTTTCAAAAGTGTTGGTCCTCGGGAATTTGATTGGTTTAGGTGAGATCACAAATTGATATCATTTAGGGAATCATTGAAAACCAGGAAGAACTGACAACTGCTTCGTCCTGGATTAAACCTTTTCAACACTAAGTACACATGACTAAACGAGCAATCGAATTCAGGATCTTCAGGTTACAAGGCGAGCCACTACGATGGTAACCTATGGTTCATGAATTCTAATTTCTATCAATTTATGACACATGGCACCACCGCCAGCCAATCTCATAGGAGAATATTCGTCCTCAACCTGTTGGATCCCGACAACTTCTTATCAGGACTGCAGGGCAGCTTCTTTCTGGAATCAGTTACTATTGACTGGCTGAACCATCAATGGACTCGCCTAGTAATCTGGAGATCCCAGTTTCGGTCCTCGCCTGGTTCCCAGGGTGAGTACCGATGAAGAGACCCAAACTAGGACGAAATACTTGTCCAGTAATCTTTGGTTCTCTAAGTGATATCATCCATACTACTATTTTCATCCTTTGAATTTGCACTTAGCCCATTCTATCCCTTCATTAACTGATAATTTTTCACTAATATTGAAACTATTATCATTATAGTTTTAACGGAGTTTTAATATTTTTGTTGATTGTTATCTATTCTGACGGCAATGCACCTCGAGACAACAACTGATCAGTCAAAAAATATTCCACCCACTAAGTAAACACACACAGAAGTCAGATTTTAAGTTAGACAACAACAACAACTTTATTTTATTGCGAAAATATTCATTCAGACATTTAAAAACACAATTGAGCAGAAAAAGAAGACATTTTCGATAATTTCCTCTTCTAACTCTACAATTATATACGTAGAGTATTCTAGAATAGTCGTCATTAACAATAATAATAATAGTAATAATTTACTTTATTCCAAAAACAGTACTTGTGATACAGAATGGAATTTTCAGCATTAATCACAATATTGCATCTAATTTCCTCAAATTATAAATAAAATTAATCACGCAGAAAATTTTCCACATTTACAATAGGGGTACTGCCAAAAAAAACATGCAGCATATAAAATGGAAATAATAATAATAGTGATAACAGCTAAGGTAATAGTAATACAAGTGAAAATTGCCGTGGGCTTGTTTCACACAGTATTGTCGATGCGGTATAGAAATCCTAGCATGTTTAAAAATACTGAATATAATGTTCTCTGTACATGATATGGTGAGGGGAAAAACAAAGATTGCAGCAGTCAAAGAGATAAGCTGGCGTCCGCAGTTACGAAAGTAAGACAAAGAAGCGACACGACCATAAATATTATAGAAATAATAAAAGTAAAACTTGAAGGTATATAAGGATGGATGGAGGAAATTGTTCATTTACTAGATGAAGAAATGTTAGTTAATTCTTGCCTGACACTATTTTCATCACATAAGATACGTGCCAAGTATGTTATCATAGAATTTTTATACTTAGACGTGCGAGCATGCAGTTTTCTGAAGTTACTTCTTGTTCTACCTGGGGAGATGCAAGGTGAAAGCTGAGGGTAAAGTGGATGCTCCAAGTCAGACAAAATCCCTTTAGCAAATTTATTGCACGAAGTCAAGCGCTTATCGACAACGACGTTAACTATGTGGTCCACTGGGACACCACTCATCCTACTGACAGTCTTCAGCATTCTACGAATTGTGACATAGTCCTTTTTAAGCAAACCAGGAAAGAGTAAGGGTGAACAATAAAGAAGAATAGGTAGGAAGCAAGAGTTTATGAACTGTAAGAGGAGGGTTGAGTTATACCTGAGTGCCTTAACTTCTGAATGTAAAATGCCAGGCGGAATATTTTACTGGAGATCACTAACACATGGGAAAGCCAGGAGAGATCAGAAGAGAGAATAAGTCCAAGATGCTTAATTTCTGATTTGATTCCTATATCATTTTCGTCAATCTTACAACTGTCATGAGAACAGACAACTTCTTTTAATTGTCTTTTACATCTTAAGCTGACATTTAGAAGGATTCAGTTTAAGATCGTTAGTCTCAGACCATTTACTGACTCCCTACAAAAAGCTATTTATTTTGGTACAATCTATCTGGGAGTTAACAGCCATTGAAACTGTTAAATCATCAGCGTACTTCACAAAGTTTATATAGGGTTTTTTTAAATAATATCGACTTGTGAAGTAAGATCAATTTGATTACAGTTCACTGAAGATGCATAAGTCACTATAAGCATAAAAATGTAATAGCAAATAGAATATCAAATAAAATTAAAGAAATTTCCACAAAAAATTGAGGATCATTAGAACCTTGATGGCCAAGGTGAGGACAGTGTCTGAACCAGCTTCTTTTAGATACATAAGTTGGGCTTCTTAATGTAGATCCCAACGGCCTCAGCGATATGTTGTCGACGAAGTCTTAAGGTGAAGTTAAGATTCGTTGGTATGCGGCAGACGACTTTGAAAGCTGCCTCGTTAACATCAATCTTGTGTTCTGTATCCACAAGATGAGATAGAATAGAGATAGCTATGAATGGATTTTGTTTGTCTTTTATTTAACCATGCAGAATGACATTCGGATTGCTTGCATCAATCACGACTTTACGGCTAACAAGGATATATTGTCCGCCCTAAAAAAATATTATTATTACTACTTTATCATTGTTAATATTTCTTACCCAGCGTATCCTATTTGTTTGCTTACTTCTTTGTAATACTCTTATTATTTTCTTTCTTCCACACCACTGATTACAACTCATTACTTGAAATGTATGATTTTGTTGACTATTTCATTTTCTCTTTTGTTTATATGAACCAAAACTAACTATTTCTCTTGTGCTTGTACTCCAATACAGCCTTTACTGGATATTGTATGCTAACGGCTACGGATTTATAATTGTAGAGACTAATGAGGAATTAACCTCCCCTGCCGGCGCACACCCGATATCTATGGTCAGCCTGCAAACTTTGGGCTACCGATATCCATGCTGAAAATTCCATACTTGTACTGAAAATACGGTGTGGAATCAAGCTGTAAATCAAAATAAAAATAAATAAATAAGACAGTTTTTTACCTGTAATTATTTTTGTCCTGAATATGACTAACACCTACTTAGTATTTTTCAAGCTTTATTGTTTGACCCACTAACAGGACACAGATATTCCTACGAAGATAGGCTGAAAAAAGTTTGAGGAACACACTTCTTGCAATCTTAATAATTGAGACTAATAAAAATCTAACGACATAAGTGTATATCATCCAAGGCATAAATTACTAAAAATAGATAGAATCAAACAATAACAACACAGGCATGTACAATATTTGGATTCGTTCACCGGTGGGTGAACCTCTGAACTGTTGAACAAACTAATTAATGTTCAAGTGTTGAATCGACCGTCAATGGCTCATGAATTCTAACTTCTACCGATTCGTGATTTAGCGCGACCCCAACCAATGTCGTTGGTGTGACATCCATCCCCGCACTTGACATCTGGTTGAACCTCACTGGTCACGACTTCTCACTAGAACTCCAGGAAACTTCATCCTGTAGCAAGTCACTAGCGAGCATCAGATTAATTTTCTATAGTTTGGTTTCTAAGGGTCCCAGTGGCTGAATGGTATACGAGCCAGCTTGCCTTGTAACCGAAAGGTCCTGGGTTCGAACCCCCTATGGTGGGTGCGTACTGCCGATGATTCCGAAACTAGGATGAAACAGCTTTCCAGTACTTCTGTGCTGGTTTTCAAATGGTTCTCTAACTGATATCAATCCGTGATCAACTCAAAGTTTAAAGTTAAAAAATAAATATGTGACACCAAGTACTACTGAATAAGTGATATGAGTAGTTGAATACGATACACATCAGCCAGTGCTGGACAACCGCTTCTCTCGTTTTGAGGTGAACCTGGTTTGACTGAGCTCACACAGCCGAATCAGTTCAAACCTTCTGAATTCTGGCTACTTCCTTTGGGCGAACTGGTTCGTTAGCATCTCCATAAACTGCGCGTATTATTAAACAGTTAGTTAACATCATCTCATCTTGACTGAAATGTTGATAAAGGTTCCGGTGGTTTGAACCGATTCGACTCTCTGGGCTCAGTCTAACAGGTTACACTGCTGGTAAATCCGGCGTGAATTGAGGGACACAACCATCTAGTGTTTAGATCACTTTTG